TTTATAAATTTTGGTACGATCATGCTGTATTTGTTAAAAAGAATACGGTATGAAAGAAAATATGATTTTTCATAGATAAATATTCAATGTATCAATCTATTATATATGTCTATGAGTGAAATATTACGTTTTACTGAAAAGAGTACTCTTCAATATCATTCGTTACAACACGCATATCATGTCTGATAGTAAAATTTCATTTATACTCAATGTTACATTTATACTCAATATTATTGCATAAATTTTATTTACTACATGGACATTTTTTTGATATATGAAATCTGTCGTTACATCATAAAATTTATAAAAACAAGTGAATTTTTTTATAAAGATATATTTTTCTTTTGAATAATTTTCGATTCGACATGTGTTTATCAGCTTTTATTTGGCCTATTTTATGCATATATGTATATATGAATAAAAAGGCATCTAATTACGATTGGCATCAAGTAATATTCTTTTTTATCACGACGTGGTAACGATGATAATGATAATTATAATAATACAATAGCAATTAATATTAATAATAAAATAAAAGAGATAATAATAAAAAACTAATATTATTAGTTTAACAAAAGTCAATAATTACAACTTTGATTTCATAAAGTCGCTTATATGACTAGCTTCTGCAGGGTTTCCAGTTAGATTAGGCCAGTCTGCGATAGGCCAGCATGGTCCTTCCTCTTGAAGATGTGAAATCCAGTAGAATTTTAAATGTACAATTACTTTACAAGTCTTCCATTAGCAAACGACGTATCTCGCTGACAGCGGAAGCGAGTAACCGGGAAACATTAAAGTTTCACGTAATTGGCGTTTGCTAGGTCATCACAGTGTCGGTGAGATCTTCCTTCAGCCACTGTGGGATCGTTCTAGACCCAAGCCGCTTTAATAATTTCACTAGAGCCGTGTTATGGGACAAGTAATATCTCTGCAAAAGACACAACGTTTAAACAGATTACGATTATATCACATACATTTCTTATATTTAAAAAAAATTATTGCAAGAGTTTTACCTGTAATAATTTATATGATCTATCTTCCATTGGCGGATATTGCCGACCTTTACTTTTGCCGAGACATTTAGTACGATCTTCGTTAGTTACTTGACAAAAGAAACCTTTTTTCGGATCGTACCTCAAGTGCGAGGAATAGTTAAAGGCAGGTGTTATTTTCAGAAATCGCTGTAATTCGTGCAGCGTTTCTACGGGATTTTGTCGTAACTGTTCACCATCGATAATATGTAATTGTTGAGGTAAATAGAATGATAACCATCTCTCTAAATGTTGGGCGTATTTTCCAGGATTTAAACATCTGAGATTGAATAAAATATCAAATTATAACTTACATCGATTAAAATATCCGTAATAATAATACGTTACGTGTTATACTAATGGTTTTATCTATATATAAGATTACAAAGATGAAAATAAAGATGAAAATAAAGATTTCGTAATTTTAACCACTCATCCGTTCATTAACTTTTGATTACTATTGCAAATAGCATTTCATATATTATTAGGCAAATACATTTTGGATAATCGTTCGCGTTCAATTACATACCTATTTCTAAGATCCCGTAGAGGTTTCGGTGCAGAATCACTTGCTGTGATGACCGCATGGAAGGAGTAATTGTTCGCTACCGGATCTCCGTGTACTCTAGTATGCTGGTACCATGAATAAGCACGTCTAGCTGGAGAGAGCAATATAGTGATTAGCTTAGCTCTTGGCAGAAGTGCATGAGCCCTTCGCGGTACTAATTCTCCATCAAAATAAGTGGCAGATTTTTCGAAGAGATATCGAGAACTCTCATTTTTCGATGCTGGAAAAAAGCTCATATACCTAAAAAATATTTTTTTTGTTTTAAATGATATAATAATAAATGCGAAATTAATATTTGCTGTTAATTACTTACCAATCGAGACCTTTGTAGTAATTCTTTCCATTAAAAAATTGTATCTCTTCAAAAGTGTCTGGACTCGGCAAATTGCTGCTTATTGCTGGATGAATGGATAGGAATGTGTATAACGCCGTAGTGCCAGTTTTCTGAGGTCCAATTACTAGAAATCGCGGTAATTGATCACAAGTTTTATTACGAGACCAGATCTTCTGATGTCTCTGGTCATCACACGGATTCTATAACAAAAAATATATGAACGTTTAATAATGTTTAAAAACATAGCAAAAATAATCAAATATTGAGTCTACTCACTCCCCACACTGGATCAGCCTCCTCGGGATATAACTGGAAGTAACGTTCCCCAAGTTGAAGTGGCGGTGCACTAGATAGCCTTAGATTCGTCCAACATTGAATAAATTTTATCACCGACTCGAAAGTGTACAACGCCAGTCGATCGTTTCCATAATTCGACATATGCGTCATAAAAATATTTATCTGAAAAAGCAATATATGTTTAAGATTATTTAACTGTTGCATATATTATTATAAATTGTTTTATATATTTAATCAATCATATTAGAAATGATTAATGATGAAATTCATTAATCTGTTGCAGATAAATTTACTAAAATAAACTCTTATGATACGAAAGATCAAAGCCTAGCAAAGATTGCTTTCGTAATGGCTGATTTACTTACTGGATTATATACGATCGTTTGGAAAAGTTCTCCGCCCTGTATCGACTCGTCCAGCTTTTCCCTTCCGCCCGGATACCTCTCGATAAAAATCGTATGAGTAAAAAGGCCACAGGTTTGCCTCGGTAGAACCTAGAGTACATAAAAGGTTTATATTTCCGATAGCTTGTATTATCAAATTTATGATTTGCAGTATATAAAAGGATTTAATTATAATAAAACAAAAATTAATATTAAATATATAATATTATATTATATAATATTAGCTAGTATAATATAATATTATAAAATATTTAGTCTGGCAATAAAAACACACAATTTTTTATAAAAATTTAGATTCGATTTATGTATTGTTTCCGATAAAATAATATAATCGCTTTTCACCAAATCGATTAGGAAACAAATAGTAAATTAGTCATTGACGATATTTTATGACTGATTACGTGTTTAACATTTATGTAAATTAGCATGCAATAAAATCGAGATTTTGGTAATTCGAAAATTACGCTATAAACTAATATTCAACCGCGATGCATGTGACGATCGATACGAATAACGTTTTCAATGTATACGAATTATGTGTTTGCACAACTCGTACATCATATTTATTGGAAATGTTTACTTTGAAGGAAAGTCGATTACTGTAGTCAATTTGTGTGACTTTCTACCATAATGTTACGGTGAATGAAGCCACGTCTCAAGCGAGCTGGCCTCAGGTGTGGATACTCTTCGGTGCTCGTGACCTTGATGTTCCATACTCGCTTCCACGCCTCGTAGAGGCCTTCGTGGACCGGATAAACGCCGGAATGATGTGGACTTACGCTGTATCCGCTTCCGGTTGGTATACCGTGATCTTTTGCGAATTGCTTGTTCAACGCCATGTCCAATTGTAGATGAGTTACATTCTCGTAAAGATGCGGTTGTTGATGATTCCACATGTGGGAAAACCACGTAAATCTAAAAAAGATTTTCGAGACATAACAAAACATTTTTATTGGTCTCGCTAATGTCGCATAACAAAAAGATCAGATTTTTAAAGCGCATGGAAAATTCTACGTATTTTTTTTTAGTTTTAGTTTTAGTTCAATGTCGACAGCCGCAATTAACTAGGACCGTAGTGAGTGAGGCTTTGTAACGTTTTGTCGTAGGTGATTATGGCAGCATTATAACAAACTGTTGCGTGACATTATACGATAAAAGCTATGCTACAATGTCGACGTGATCGTAAATTAAGTTTATATTATGCACTCTGTATACATATATGTATCATAATAAATTACATAATTGTAGCAGTCACAACTGGTAATCCTAATTAATTAAATTATCTTTAAAGCTACATCAATATTTTCAACACGCATACAAATTTTGATGTAACAAACATAATATTCTATGATTATTACTACACGCGTTTATATATTATAATATAATATATTATATAATATAATAATAAATATATATATGTATGTATGTATATATATATATATGTGTGTGTGTGTGTGTGTGTGTGTGTGTGTGTGTGTGTGTGTGTGTGTGTGTGTGTGTGTGTGTGTGTGCGCGCGCGCGCGCGCGCGTGTGTGTGTGTACATATAATTCTAATAATGCAATATTCTCCGAACTTGTCACTTCTATGTAATTAATTTTCTAACTTTTTATACCTGTCTACGTTCTCCAGAAGCATGTCGTCCCCCAAATTCTCCTCCGCTGTCCCGTGATGAAAATATTTCCCGGAAAACCCCAAATTGAATTTGAACCCCGGCACTAGAGCTTGAATTCTCTGCTGAGTGGCTAGCAATGCCATTACATCATCTTTTCTCAACCTGGTACCTTTTTCGCCGACGAATATGTCGTCAACGTCCACCAAGATCATACGATTTAAGCTGAGGCTCAATTGCCCATGCGACAGGTAGGATAACGAGTCTAACAGCAGCAATTTGTGCAGCCAAAATCGTAGGCCACCGCCGAAAAGGACTCTTTGAATTCCGTCGTATCTGCCGTGATCCTGTTTAAATATATTTTGCAAATTAAGACTTCTCTCTCAGATCTAAAAAAAAATCTATTCATTAATAAATCTATCTTTATCACATTATAATATACAATTTGCGACTGAAAATTATTTGCTCCGTTAATATCTAACTAATCTCATAACTGGAGATCACTAATCGCATAAATGATATAAATGAGATACATTTTCAATAACGCGTCGCAGTCTATTCGCCTGAATTTCTTCTATTCATGCTTCCACATTGTTCCTAGTTGGCGTTCCAATTTCAATTTCAATTTTCAATACGTCGGCTTTGGGATGATTTTATATACATGAACGCACATAGAATCCTAATCATCGCGCGTTAACGAGCATCGTTATTTTTCTCTCAATAAAATACGGCGAGTAATCGGCCACGTCCGACGTGTTAATTGCATTGTTCGAGGGAAACTCTCCGGTAACTCCGCAGCTTCGGCTATGAACCGAGCTTGTTAGCAGTAAACAACAATAATAATCTCACGGATAATCCTATCCGTGCAAGGGATAGGGGTGTCGGGATAGATACGCGGATCGCACAGGTAACCAAGTGATTAAATCAGAAGCCAATCAGCCGTAGGCTCATTCAATTAATGACTGCGTGGCGCGCTTCATTTGCTACATTGGAACTACCAATTTATTTAGTTTCAGGGATTGGTTCCACCCTACTTTATTTTCGAATAGGTTAATACCGAATGAGACAGAGAGTGATGAGAAAAAGACTGTCAAGATATTTCCGAATTACCGAATGTGAAATATAACAAATATAGTGAATTGGAGGAAATTACATTGAGAGACATCAAAGTATTTTTTTTCGTTTTATTTAGGACTATCTACGAGTAAAATTGTTCAATTAAAGAAAGAATTTAGTTTCGCATTTCTTTTTCGTTATACACGGCAGTCTTGCTGCGTAACACGTAAACTCAACTTTATATTATGTCGCAAGATATTTTTTCCATTATGAGATCTTACTGCTTCACGTACGATACAATTCCAAAGTCGTATTTTAACGGTTTTTATACCGTAAATTAAATGTATAAATTCAAAATTTTTTTCAATATTTAAACATAAAAATAAATAATTCGAAAAACTACATTTACTTTTACAGGATAGTCGAATTGGCATGCACAAAATAAACCAGATGTATCGTCAATTGGTACAGGAACGGAAAAGTTAACAAAAAGTCCCGCACATATCTCATAAGCTCTGTTTCGCTGGTACAGAGACAAAACGGTTGAGTGTGAGATATGTATTCCGGGTGGATGGAAAAATGTCGCGCCGGTACGGAACGTGCAAAACATCGACCATACAGCGTGTATATTCGCGCTCTTCGTTATAACAGATGATATCTCGCGTGCGTCTGTCCGGTGAACACCGTTTCCTTTATATCATCTGCAATTCGGCATCTCCTTCGGGCGTCTGCCGTCCCTCCGTGTTTTTCGCATACTACCAACTGGGCGTCTCCCATCTCTCTTTCTCCGTCTCTTTTCCACGTGCGTTTACGTCCGGAATCTTGCAGTTGCGAATTCCTGCAGGAATGTAAACGCCGGCCGGGACGGCTTTACGAATTGTTTCAGTTTACCTCCGCCAACTGCGGATCCTTTCTACTTCGCTGTTTCTCCCTTTTTTCTCCTTCCCTCTTTCTCGAGCTCCGTTCTCCTTCTTTCTCTCGTCTCCGTGGTACGTGGTCACGAGCCGTATCGCGGAAATTCCACATTTGTTTTCGTTTTCCGGCGCCGTCGTTGGCAGAGCAGGGAGAATCGTCAGGACGAGAGAAACGGCGGAAGAGAAAAATGCAGAAAGATAAATGAAAAAATTACCTACGTACTCGGGATTTCTATTAATACAAAATTAATTATCGTTGAGAGTACAGTGAAAAGAGATGACGTGTTCCCAACGAGATCGTATTTATGAAAAGAGAAAAAAAAAACATGGATAACATCTTGGAATAATATTATTTTATTAATCCAATATGAAATAATATTTTATTATGTCTTTTTATATCTTCACCTTCCTAAATATCGTCTTGTTGAAGAAATATTTTTATCATATCATAAAAATAATTTGTGAAGAAAAAAAAGTTGAAAATACTTGAAAATATCTCTTCTTATCTAAAGACATATTTTAAAGATTTGAATATGAAAGAGACGTGAAAAGTTACTTTTGGTAACAGATACGATATTTAGAAATTATTCTCTGCTGGGAATACGTCCTTATCACATCGCTAAGGGTTTAACATAACACAAGGGTGATGCAAGGGAACTTGCTCTTATCATGATGTGTGTGTGAGAGAGAGAGAGAGAGACGAAAGAGAGAAGAGGACAGGGTCCATGAAAGACTCTTCTCCTCAGCAGGAATACTTGTGCCATCACAAGCGCAGGATGAAATCACACTGTGCGTATTGTTCCAAGACCTCCCTTTTGTTCTACCCCTCGCAGAACGGCGGGTCCTTACACAGCCACTCAGCTTCTTGTTTCCTGCCCGGCCGTCTTTCCTCTCTTCTTCCCTTCGTTACACGCAACCGCAAAGCAAAGTGGTTCGCATCAGAGGAATTTTGTATTTCTGGCCGACTCTCCATTTCGGCGTCGTCGCTGAGAATATTGAGGAGGACAAGAAACCACCTTTTGAAGATGTCTGAGCTAAAGCTCTTTAGAGCATCGCGTAAGAAAGATAAATGCACGAATGATGTTTTTGAATTTAGCGCTTTTCTAACGCTTTCGTTGACAGCGATTAAAGTTTGTTACCGACATAATAGCTGACCGAGATCATCGTTAAAAATTATCGCGCTCGAATTATTCGCGATTTCGCGGTTTCTTGTTCCCTCTATCTCTTTCCAAACGACGGGAGTGAAGAACACTAAAATCGGTATATACTCGTGATATCTGTGGTAATAAAACGAGTTCTCGTGAGATTCGCGGGTTTCAGGTTCAAGGAGGGACTTTGTTTTCCCAAACGTGCTCATGCGAATATAAACGTCATACAAGTACTTGGCGAATTGTTCGTGTATCCCTTCCTACTTCTATCGTCGTACCTTCCTTACGATCTCCAGGGTTCTGTGCACCCCTTTAGAGCGAAGGAGATCGTTCTGCGAAATACGTGCGTTGTCATTTTTCGAGATTATCTTTGTATCAGAGAAGATACCAGAGCCAAGTGTACACGAAGCTGCGTGAATTAACAAGAGATTCCCAAAGGAGCTCTGTGTAAGTATAATGGGAACTGGGAGTTCAAAGATAATGTAACTTTAACATGATACATCGGTCCTACGGCTTCCTTGACGTTCGTCGTGAAAGCGTTTTATTCTTACATCTAGTCAAAGAGCATCTATTAGCCCTGCACACCAACTGAACGAATTTCTAACTCTATTTCTGCAACAGATCCAAATGCGAAAGGGAGAAGAGAAGGGAAAGGGAGAAGAGAGAAAGGGAAAATGATTTAAACGTTCCTTGTCGCCGAACGGTAATAAGGCATGGACGCGTGAGCCGGTGCATTAATTCCGCAGTCGTCCGAGTTGTCCGGGAAGGGATTCCGTGACCGGAATAATCCAGCAAATAAAGTGCACGACTCACCTGGATGACGGTAGCTAGGGGACTTTTGTTGGCCGGATAGTCGAGGCTGTCTCGATACGCCCAAGCAAGCGGTTCGTAGGTGCTGTGATTGGCCTGAAAAATAGTCCAGTCGCCGCCAGGAAGTGGTCCCCAGGCCGTTTCCCCCGATCTGGTTAATCGAAGAATGGGAGACGCCGCATTCAGTTGAGCATCCTAAGAGAAGAAAGAGCGACCTGATTCTATCTATGCGGCCTGCACAAAAGTTCCGCTCTCGCTCGTCGTGCCAGATTCCCTCTCGCTTTTGGGAAAATCAAATTTTCACATTACGGGGAAGCATCACGCGCGTTTTAGCGCTTTGTTAAAAGAAAATGGCTCGGGCCAATGCCACGTATTCAGAATATCACGTGTAATAATATCACATATTTCCTAAAAAATATGCATAACTACAAAAATGTAATAACGATAGTTGTATTATGGAAAATTCTGTATTTCAAAATTCAAAGTAAATATCCATTAGCACAGAAAGAGCAGATTACACAATAATTTGAAAAATTTTGTTCAAAACATTTCATATTTTAGATTTTTATTTATTCAGCGCGCTGTGAGTGTAATTTTAAAGTGTAAATTTTTATATAAATTTTGTGTGTGTGTGTGTGTGTGTGTGTGTGTTGTGTTAGAAATACAATTAATATAAACATTTATTTATAGTTTATTTATATACAGTAAACAATAATAAAATTAATACAACTTTGCACTGCGTTTATTCAAAGAGAATTACATGTTTCGTACTTGATGCAACCTGAACGACAATTCTAAAGGTCAGTTCTCTTTTTAAGTACGTACGTGACACATAAGACATGTCATGCGTTCAAGTTACAATCGATAAAATCTTAAGAAGGTTCTAGTTTCTTGTTATAAACATTATGGTAATAAAAAAATTGCAAGTAGTTGTTATTACAGAATTAGAAGTATACTACAGATAAATTAACATAAATATATTTATTCTCAAATAAGAAACGTACAATAGAAATTATCTTATTACTGAAGCCATTTCTAACGTTATTTTTATCATTCCCTTTTACGAGGGTTTCTTTCTCGTTTCGATATCAGTTACCACAATACCAACTTGATTGCAGCAGTAAAGATTATCTCATTGATTTGTTATCATTATGGCTTTCTTGGATAATCCTCAATATTAATTGTGAAAGACAATCAATAATTTTTTACATGAAAATATAGATGTTTTTATAAGATTCAGTTCTCATATTTTATTCTTAATAATAAAATTAGAAAATAAAATTGCACCAATTTATTCTTATTTGTCTTTTGTCACGTTTGTATGCCAATTGTAAAAATTTGACAAAACTTAATAAGCGAATACATATATAAAATTATATTATCAAAAAGATACATATATAAAAGATATGGTACATATATAAAAGATATGGTACATATAAAAATATAAAATCTGAATAAAATTTAAACATATATGTTGTTTGCAAAAAATGTAACTATATGTGAGAATAATGTTTGAATGTGTAATGGAGACTGACCTTTAATCTAAGATTAGTATGTATAAAAAGTGGAAAGCCCTTCAGCTGAGCACCAACTAGACTCTCTTCTCCAGGAGGAGCAAAACCCACGATGCCAACTGAATATTCTCTGCAATATTTGTCAAGTAGCTCGCGATTCCATTTGTCCATCTGCAGGTACTTATTTAGATTCTCGAAGATCAGCACCCCATATCGACCCTTATCAAGATTCGTCAGCACCGGTAAAGATTTACCGGCCACCTCCACTTTGTACCTGAAAGCATACCAATAATTTCTCGTGTATAATAGTCTATAAAATGCGATATTCTTAATAATTGAGAGAAAATTTAAATTATTAAAAATAGAATATTTTGTCATTTTTATTAAAATTAAAACACATTAATTTACACATATTGCGTTATATCAAAAATATTTGAAAATTTTTAATTAAATGTCATGTTCGAAAATTTTTAATGGTTTTATGAATAAAATGTAAAATTCAAGAGAAAGGTCATAATTTTGCGTAATTATAACTTTTAATATTAAATAATTCACTTATTATAAGATACTATGCAATATAAACATAACAATTTTGCGATACGGCAAGTACTTTTTTGAAAGTGCTATAATTTTTACGGATACGTAGTACACTCTACATTTACCGTTTCCGAGTGCCATTAAAACTGCAGCGATATATATTCTGCTAATCGCCTTCGGGATCTCTGTGCTTAAGAATTGAACTTAGAAGAATGTGAACTTTTGCAAACTCCGCTTAGGTGCACATTATTCTTTCGAGGTTTATGTATAAGGCAAGCACTTCGGGAAAAAAAGTTTTGTTAACGTGTCCTTAAAATAAACTAAATTGTTCTCCTCCCCCCCTTCTCTCTCTCTCTCTCATCTCTCACTCTCTCTCTCTCTCTACTACTCTTACTTACTTACTTACTTACTTACCGTTTCCGTTTACCCGTTTACCGTTTACCCTTTTACCGTTTACCCTTTTACCGTTTACCGTTTACCGTTTACCCGTTTAACCGTTTTAAACCGTTTAAAAACCGTTTAAACCGTTTTACCGTTTTACCGTTTACCGTTTACCGTTTACCGTTTACCGTTTACCGTTTACCGTTTACCGTTTACCGTTTACCGTTTACCGTTTACCGTTTACCGTTTACCGTTTACCGTTTACCGTTACCGTTTACGTTACCGTTACGTTACCGTTACGTTACGTTACGTTACGTTACGTTACGTTACGTTACTTACTTACGTTACTTACGTTACGTTACGTTACGTTACGTACGTTACGTTACGTACTACTACTACGTACGTACGTACGTTACGTTACGTTACGTACGTTACGTTACGTTACGTTACGTTACGTTACGTTACGTACGTTACGTTACGTTAAGTAAGTTACGTTAAGTAAGTAAGTAAGTAGTAGTTACTTACGTACTAACCGTACCGTACCGTTGTACGTACTACTTACTTACTTTCGTTACGTTAGTTAGTAGTTAGTACGACGTACGACGTAACGTTAAACGGTTAAACGGTTTAAACGTTTAACGTTACGTTAACTTAAACTAAGTCTACTAACTAATATCTCTCTCCCTCCCCTCCTCTCTCTCTCTCTCTCTCTCTCTCTCTCTCTCTTCTTTTCTGTCTGTCTGTCTGTCTTTCTTTTACCTTGCTGCTAGTCGATGGAGAAAAAGACTTCATAAAGTTTTTCTCTCTCTTTTCCCGCCAGCGCAAATATTTCACTGCAAATATTTAGACGCAAATGTCACCCATGTAAGATACAGTCGTCAACGTGTGTTTTGACAATTTCAATCCGATGGTGTATCGGATGTTTAAAGTGCGAGCCGTAGCAAATAGAAGTAAAATGGAATATCGATAAAAGAAGTAGCCTAGTCGAGAGGATGCCGGTATTGTTAAACGATAAAACTGAGACACTTTATATCGAAATTCCATTTACGTAGCATCCAAAAAATGCTCCGCGGATAATAAAGCAATTACACATGTATGATACACACTCTCTTTTACATTGAGACATTCGGAAGACTTATTGCATTCTTTTTCTTCTTTTGAAATTATATACATCCCGGCGCCTCCCGACGAAGTTGTCTTCCGTCTCGTTTCGGCTTTTTTCTGAATTTTTTTCCAGCGTGCCCTCTCAATCACAAAAAAAATCGACAGGCCATACTTCTGCCATGTGTGTGATAAAATGATTTTATTGCGGAAATAAACTGGCAAGGCTTCTCTCGTCGATCGTACCGATGGATTTCCCTCATATCCTGTCGCGCGCCGTAAAGAAGTGACGCGGATATCAGATTTATTGGAGATGTATTCGATAAAAAAATTTAACAAAAAACAAAAAGAATAAAATAAATTGAAGAGAAACGTACTATCTGTTCAATGGCAAGTCTATGTTCGATTTTTTAGCAGATATTCGGGGAATGGAAATTACCGCTGGAAAGTATCGCTCGTAAAGTCGAGATAAACATTCGATCGGCACATACGTGAAATTTACGCTCTGTTATTTGTAGGAAATCGAGACAAATGCTAAAATTTATTATTTCCGAACAAGTCACGTAGCGCGTTTCTTTTAGCCATTAACAGCCAGATCACAACAAATTGGAATGATTATGTCAAATTATGGATAATAAAGTTCGATAATAAATGGTAAATATTTGAGGCATTAGTAAACACAATAAATATTGGATGTTGTTTCAGTTAGAACTGAAACTCCGATATATGAATATTTGTCAATATTTTAATCTTTAATTTTCAACAACAAAGCTTTATCGAATGAAAGAAGCACGAACAGAAAGTAGTATTAAAACCGCGGTAACATTGCTGTTAAAAAATAGCGAACGATATTCGAAAGACAGCAAAGACAGTTTTTGATTATGCATGCAAATGTAGACATAACTGGAAAACCTGCTGAGAGAGGTTCATGCGGATCAATATCAACGATAGTTTGGATACCTCCTATTTGTGTTTAACATTCAGGACCGATTCTAATCGTGTATATACATCAATGCGTTAGCATGTCAGAATGGCAGATTGCCGTTATGCCGAATGCAAAATAGTTTCGATATTTCCGTTCAATAAAATATCCTGTATATCGCATTTGTTATTGCAATATTATTGCGATTTGCTTGACGATATCATCGCTAATAATTTTTTTCGTTATGATAAAAAAAATTATAGCTAAAGAATTCGAGGAGAAACATTCTAATCCTGTCGAAATTGAAAAGCATAGGCGTATTCAGAAGATGGAAGTTCAAACTTCATTCGAAATTAAAAAAAAAAAAGTTAATTATAAATTATTTACAAAATCTAATATTTTTTCATTCAAAGTCAGAAACGACATTCTAAAAATCCAAAATGCAATTTATTAATGCAAAAAATTGATGTTTATGTGTTAACAGAATAGATAAAATCCCTTAAAAAAATTCCAGACACGCCCATGTTGAAAAGAATATGCTCGCATGCACTACTAGGTATTTCAATTTTTAGATATCAAGTCTCATTGTAATTTCTTGGATAATGTACCGGTGTAGTTAACACTAGTTTAACACTACTTACAACTATTATTGGTTTCGCGCAACAATGAAGATAAATGACTTCAGCCCGGTGCAACGACACGGCGGCCGGCCGACGCGCTCGGGCGAGTTAAGAGAGCTACGGATAATCCGCCCAATGTAATAGTTTTATAATTAGGTGAACGTTGTTATCGGATATATATAGTACGCGCCCGTAGCCGATTTTATTTTCGCGTTTATGGATCACGTCGGGGGTGGCCTTGCAGCCGTGCGCGAGCACAAAAAATTCAAGTCAACTAATGAATGCCGGGGATAATTTAGCGATGTAATCGATTCGATAATTGGTAACCGCCCATTAACGGCGAGTTATCCAATTTACGAGGCTAACGAACTGTCATAACGAACCACCGCGCGATGGGGCTCTTTTGTTCTTGGCTAACAATTCGAGAGAGTTCGCCTTCCAAGCGCACCGCGCACCCACGCGTCACGCGAAGAATCCGAAAGCGAAATTCAGAAGTATCGATCCGGACCGCACCGTTCCCAATCGCAAAACGATGAAAGACGCGTACGTGCCGGGGATGATACCCCGGACTTCGAAATTTGTACGGCACGGCACCGGCAGTTTCGTTAATTATATTTCGAACTTCGTGTCCTTAAAAGTTCATCCCGCTTCTGCGACAGAGAACTTTCCTATCTCGCCCAGGCGACAAAGATTGAATTAAGTTTAATTAATACGGAGTGGAGATATAAAACTGACGTGATGCTCCTCGAAATTAGAGATTATTAGATATATGCCATTGATCTGAGTCTAGATTGTCGAGAATTTCTATTTCACGTTATTGGTTTTCATTTTGCTGTTTCTATTTCAGTGGATTTGCTATATGGTTAATATGCTATATGGGATACATTGCTCGAATTAACGTTAATCGATATATCTCTAAAAATTCATTAATTTCTTATTTATTCGCTCCTACTAAATAATTTGTTTTTTTATATTACTAATTAAATAATATAATAACAAATGTTATTATTTATTAAATAAATTGATGTAAATAAAATATATATAATAATATCACATCCAATCTACAATACATATGTAATATCATAATAATATGCGCGCGTGCGTATGAAAAGCAATATGATTATAATATTAAAATAATAAAATAATATCTTATTAAAGATTTCATATTTTTAAAGAAAGTTTCAGATTATAAATCATAACGTCGCTACTGAAAGAAATTAGTCTTATAAAAATAAATCTATTATACCAGCTGTTTTATCTCACATTCAAGTTATTAAAGCGTAGAAGTGAGCAATGTATCAACATTGAAACAGATTCTTTAGTAAATCGTTTAATCAAGCAAAATGTTATTCAGTTTCTCAGCGAACAGAATATAAAGAACAAAAAAACTACCCTTTTTTGAAATTTCTCCCCGGTTTTATGTAGAGCTGTGCGCGCTCTTAATCACTTTCGGAATATTAAAAAATTAGATATTTTATAAAAAAGTTATTATAATATCTAACTTGGCGTTTCATTATCCGAGATCGAGGTTAGAAACTTATCGAGCGAAATTCATGTTAAAATGCAGGTGTAATTCGTGGAAATTCGCGTGCGGGGCAGATATTACAAACGCAAAGTGCCGGGACGAATCCGAATTACGTAACGATGTACAAGGGCCCAGATACGTTTTCACATTAAGAAGAATAATTTAATTAAAGCGGATTAAATGACAGG